ACACACACACATGTACACACACACACACACACGGAGTCTTACATGCCAGATTTCTTTAGCATCTCCAGAGAAAGCTTACGGATACGGTCTTGGATGCCGTCCATTTTGGCGGGAAGTGGTCGCTACTGGGGCGCGTGGAGCGAAGTCAGGGACGTTCTGTCAGCACTGCAGCTAGGCAAGGGACACTGGATTTTTCACAAAGAGGGTCCCTCTAAGAACGATTTTTTTAGAAAATATATACCCGTCCTTGCTTAGGAAATATACTTAGGTAAAACAGCATTCTTCGTACATTTTGTCTAGTCCAATAAGATTAGACATACACAACTCTGAAGCTTTGCAATTGGCGGTCAATTAAAGACAGTCAGAACGAAAAAAAACACCCCCATTTGAAATTGGGTATGTCCCCTTCTTTTAACGCGCTTGTTTATCAGTTTGAACATGAATTCAAATAATTTCTCAACTGTCAAATTACATCAGCTAGACACTGTTAGGATAATTTCGCTATCACATTCGCTACATTTTAGTTATATATAGCTACAACTTTAAATCAACTTGCGTCAGAAGTCTAGCTTCCTTAGATTTGAACATGGTTCATACAGGCACCGTTCTGGCATGTAAAATTGATTTTAACGATCAATCAGTAGTGATTATGATAAATGATCAAAACTCGAGCGCATCTAAATGCAATGTAATTAGTGAAATACCATCCACCATTACATAAAGGCATATAATTAGCGCTCGAGTCGTAATTGAAAGAAAGTCATGGGGGAATTCGTCGGTTTTCTTACTTGTTCAATGTTCAGACACAGATAACAGAACTGAAATCTTACGAGAGATAAAGATGGAAAGGCTTGATGTAAAAAGCTAATTGATTAATTAGTCTAGTCTCCCTGGATTACGGCTGTAGTGGTTGGAATACGTCGTGACAAACGTACAAGTGAGGTCTAATGATTTGCGTCATCAGGGTTGACGTGAATGTTCTTGAGTGGAGGATGTCAGAAAGGTCTGCTTCGAAGTTCAGCTTGGGGGACGTACATGTATGGCTACGTGGGTTAACTTATAAGCACTAGTCGGCTCCAGAACCAGGTGCAAGAGGATTGAGTGAGTGAGCGAGTGAGTGGTAAATGTATGCATATATGTGGCTGTGTACATTTTTATCTCTAGAAACTGTGCATAAACCTAGCCAGTATCCATCCCGGCACCATAGACTGATAGAGGTCTTTTATTAACGCAGTTAGCGTTCCGCTAAGCACTGGCTCCTTTTTCTGACAACCGATCTTTCTGACCGCAGAGCGCCAGTACACTTCGGCGGGCGAGAAACAGTCCCACTCCCGAGGGGATTCCTGGAAGGTAACGGTCGGTTGGTACCTGCAAAACGCGAGGAAACTTTCATTATTTAGACAGTGTATTCCCAAGGACGACAAAATACATGTATATTTGCGAAAACGAGGAACTTAACCGATGATTTTGTGGGCGTCCTGAGCCTAGGGTTTGCTGACCCGGTACTAATGGATTATGCGTTCACCAATAACGAGGTACCGGCCTTAAGCTGAAACCTGCACTTAAAACACACAGGGTGCCCTTAAGAGGTGAACTGCGTCAGTCGAGATCTGAAGCACACGATTTTGTCCCGCCGCTGCGAAGAGAATTAACGGCGTTACCGTTAATAAGTGGGACCTCTGATAGCCATTAGTATAGAGGGATGAAGCGTTCTCAATCCTCTGGGTAGACCACAATGAGCCTCTATTAATGTGACTTGCAGTTAACAGCCCTCTGGATGCACTACTCACTAGAAAGGGTAAGAATCGATGGTCTTATCACATATAGAGGCGTGAGATCATGGTATTGTGCTCGCTATTGGAAATACTATGACTCTAGTAGGATCTACGTTTCACCGAACGATAAAAAAAAGGGATAAAAAGAAAGAAGATCGAAGAACGAAATAGTTAATATTCAAGTAGATGGTGCAAGGAAAAATCCTAGCAGCTACGTCTACTAGTAGAAGTTCTAGCAAAAAAGAGGAACTAGAGAATGTTCCATTATCTGCTTGGAGGTAATGTTTTCAAGTTATGAAACAGATTGAGCAAAATATTATAACTTTATCTTTTTCTAAACCCTTCACAGGTGATGTGGCCACGAATACACAACCACTTGTGCACAAGTTCCGACGTGTTTCTGTGAATTCAATTTCCCTGGCGCCACAAGAGAATGACTCCCTGAAGCAACCATTGGCCTGAGTACGCCCTAATCATGCGGACTGGACGGGCAGTCTCTACACTTGTTAACACGGACCCAGAGGCCATGTTGATTTGATTATATGGATGACGTCCTCTAGGAACCACAAAACTGATGCGAGCTCGCGAATAAAAAAAGTTAAAAAAAAATAGTTTCCTTCATTATGAAATCTACGTGGTCATAAAGGTTGAACAAATGACTAAACACGTTGTATATGGTATTGCAAATAATAATAGACTCTTCCTTTTCATTTCTCATTTTCTTTTTTTTTTGCTGAATATTGATTTCGGCATTCTATAACATTAGTATCGTTTTCCAATACTTTGGCAACATATGACATATATTCGCTCATTTTTTCACTAGGGTCGAAACCTTTTTTTTTTTGGAAACGGACGAAAAATCATGCGTGCGCGTGAGGATGTCATCCATATAATCAAATCAACATCCCCTAAAGCCTAGGAAAAAATATTGTGTTTCCTCTTTCAGTGTTGAAAACATTAGGGTAGGTACTAGTAGGTAGGGATTATGTTTTTGCTTCTTTCTTTTTTTTATTAGCCTTTGGCAATCTCTACTAGTGATCCACAAGTAGAGATGTATACAGTCGTTCAACTACACAAATATTTGCTGTTGTTAGAAGTATAAGTAAATTTAATAAGTAGTTACTGTTACTTAGTAATTTTTATTGTTCTTGTTAAGCAATTGTTATGTATAATGTTGTTGAATCTTTTGTAACTATTAAGTTGATAATTGTATGTATTTTACTATGTGAAAGGACTCCAGGAAGATTAGTATACACAGCTTGTATAACTAATGGAGATTCCCAATAAACAAACAAACAAACAAACACCATATAGTCTTTAAAAAATTATCTCAAAATCAACCAAGCAAACACACTACTTCTATGCTTAAAACCTATACCACAATACAAAATATAGAAATATTTGACATGATTATTTACCCCAGTAAAACACTTGTAAAGGGCGTATGCGATGCCTTCACAAGATATACAAACAAATATCATGGCATGTTACTGACCTTATGAGTATACATGTACAACATAGCAGTAATGTCAACAAAACAGAGGGATTTCTAGTTCTGTTGATATTTAAGTATACTTACTGCTACCCTTTGGTAAGCTGTTCCAGATATTACATTTTCAATACAAAAAGCAACTTTGTAAAATATAGAGCATTGATATGAAATTTGAATGTCATATCATCATATGCCTCTATAGTTTGTATCTTACCCTATAAGCATCTTAATATATCCGCAAGTTTCAAAGACAACTTTAGTTAGTTAAAATACATTAATATCGATGTTACTTTAGGACCTAAGTAGTAAAAAAAACACCTTTTCATTTCTGATGACACTCATGACTGTAAGGTTTCTGTCAAAAAAAACAGCAAAAGCATACATGTGTGCAAATATGTATAGTCACCTACATATATACAGTAGTAACTACGTACAAGGGTGTCCTCACAAGATAGCTATTAGCAACACTTGGTGTTATCTCAATGTGACAAGTCATAACTATCCACTGCCATGAGCTTTCGAAGTTATGGTGGGACATAAAGCAGTTATACCAGCTGTTTTATACTAAATTATAGTTCTACCCTACAGATAAAAAATGATACAGAATCTGATGTTACAACTCAAAGAGTTGATCATAGATCAGTAATATACTAAAGTACCAGCTGTTTTATAGTCCTACCCTACAGATTAAGCATGATACAGAATCTGATGTTACAACTCAAAGAGCACTCTCAGCCATCGGTGAGTGGGGTGGGGCTGAGGGGAATCCTTCATTACGCGAGATGTCGTTATACGATGGTGGGAGAGTTGGATCTTTCTTCTGGTACGAGCCAAATTCTTCCGGTTCAAACGCGAGCGTTCCTCGGTCGGGAATCTTTGACTTCAGGGTCGCCTTGAAACGCTGAAGAAAGAGCAAAATTTTTGTTTAAGATTCAACATTATACACGCACTAAAATAGCTTTGATACTGTAAGAAAATCAATAATATTACAATGTGTTCATGACTTACATTACAGACAGGTAACTGTCACAATACATGTAATAGAATGTTTCACAAGAAAAGATTTACTCAAGCAACTGGATTGATGTTGAAAACTGTCAAGACATTTCAAGTAGCATCCACTACTTTTCCTCAGAGACTAATTTTGTCAGTGAAACATTTGACAGTTTTCGAAATCTATCCAGTTGCCTGAATCACTCTATTCTTGTGTATCTCATTACTTCAATGTCTGTATTTGTAACAATAGTCTTTATTTCCTACCTGCACAAAGCCTCCTTTTTCACTCAGCAATGCATGGATGGCTCCGATTGGTAGACAGATGATTGAAAGTGAGGCAATGACCCAGCCAATCGCCTGCCCCCATCCCGGGTAGTAGTAGTCGCCATACCTCACAGGGGTGTACTGGATGAACCCAAAGATCATGATACCCTGAAAAGAAAAGAAGAAAAAAAACACAATCAGAGACAACAGACTTTACCCACTTACTCCTAATGCTCTGTGATTCTAAATTGATAAAATTATATCTTTGAAGGAAAAGAAATCAATACTTCCAAAGTGAATGAACAAAAAATTTAATGTACATGTAAGCAATGTGATTCAACAATAAACAACAGAAATATGTACGAGTACTTACTCCAATGAGTACTGGAGACAGTCCGTACCAGCAAACGATGAAGTACATCCATGGTTTGTTTCCTGTCATCTCTTCTATATTCCGGGCAAGCCTGTTGGCACCTAAAAATAACATCATGTCATAATTCAGGGCATCTCAGAAGAGAACCATTACAGAATAAAATCTACTTTATATTCCTCTTCATGGGAAATATGGAATTCGGAATTTTCGATTCTAATGTTGCATGATATCTTACCGTATATCCAGGAGATGGCAACAACTTCGAAAAATGCAATGACCATGAGAGAGATGGCTGCAGCATAGAAGTCAATCAGCTGGAAGAAGTACATCCCTCCCTGTAGAAGACACAACATTATAATTACTTCAACTGTACAACACAAGAACTAATTCAAAGATGGAAAATAGTGACCACATGTTTCAAAGGACAGCTAAAGTTGGGAATGTGTACATAAATGAATGTGCTAAATGGGTGTAGAAACTTAGAGGACAATGTAAATGTTTCAGAAATGGACAAAATCATTGTCAATTTGTGTATGTTCCAGATCTGCAAACTTGATTTTGTATGTTTTGAGGGATATGGTCTAGTAGAACAGTCATCCCTAACTGATGTAAAGCATGATGCCTTTTAAGCAGATTAAGAGTTATTGTGCTACAAGCGCACCAACATAGATGGTAATTTGTGATACTCTCACCTGTGCAATGTTGGGGAGCCCAAGCAGGTATGACACACAGCACACAACCAGGACCAACACTTCTTTCCTCTTCAGGTACTTCCTGATGAAGGGATGGAAGTGGTCGTACAAGGTGGTGATGATCACCTCCACTGTGCAAAACTGGCAGAAACAGGAGACATTTCACGTAATTATGGTGTTAGCACAATCATATTATTTGTTTGAAGGCCACCCAAAAAGGCTTTGAAAGTTGTAGTATTCGACCAGATGATGGTCAAATAGTTGCAGTCAAATTGGTCATGACCAATGTTATGGTACTTAATTAAAGACATGCTTCTGAGTCCAGCAGTTAACCATAAACTGCAATTATCAAACAGACCAGTAGGAGGCACTGCTACATTGTAACGTTCTTTGTACTACAGAATAAAAGTCATTAGAAAATCCAGATTATGTATATGCACCTGAGAGTCGATCCCCAAGAGCAGGAGCATGATGAAGAAGAGAATGGCCCAGAGAGGAGACACAGGCATCGTGGCTATGGCCTGAGGGTACACCACAAACGCAAGTCCTGGACCTACATTTTCATCAACAGAAATATTCATTTTCCAGTGAAAAATATAAAAGCTAAACCAACTAGAGATCATTGATGAAAGTTAGACATCCAACAGTTTAAAAACAGATGTTTCAAGTAGCATCCATTACTTTTTGCCAGTGACTAACAGAAAACTGATGTTTATTCACTGATGAAAATTACTGAAATGTACTTGAAACATCTGACAGTTTACAAATGTATCTAGTTGCTTGAGTATGTTTATATGTTTTCACTCATCTTAGAACAATTGATGTGGGAAAGACTTGAACTGCTTTGTGTGTTTACCTTGGGTTGCCACCTTATCAACAGTAGTTCCCTGTAAGAAGGCCATGTAGCCCATCACGGAGAAGATGGCAAATCCTGCCAGGATACTTGTTGCCGAGTTGATGCACGCAATCATCAATGTGTCCCTGAGGTTCAAGGTCAACATAATCATATTTTTTTATTTTATGAACCTGTAAAAGCGTAAGTCCCCTAGTCTTGTAGCTGAGCTGTGTCTGAGTTCTCTGCCTTTACCTTCCAAACTCAAATCAGGTGCCTTGGCCGGTGTGACTGAGAGTTACTTAAATCTGGAGCTAGGAACTGAATCTGTGACCTCTCACACCCTCCCATTTCTGCTTATTAGCCTTTAAACACTGGACCATTGAAGCCACACCACTTTATATATAGAAGAGCATAGTTTGTCCTAATACTTTGTAAACAAACAAGAAACTAGTCTTCTCTTTTCTTCCCCTTCAATCTATACCACTTGCTGCAATCTGTAACAACTGATGAAACAAGAGAGTGTATATCTCACTTGAAGACGTTGTTGTTGAACTTGTTGTAGCTGGATAGGGCAATGCAACCTCCGAAGGCAATTCCGATAGAATTGAAGTTCTGTGCAGCAGCATTGATCCATACCTGAACAGTTGAAAAAGAAGTTAGTACAGATAAATTTCTAGCATTTCTTAGTACAGATAAATTTCTAGCATGTGGATACCAGTACTAGAATGTTCATGTTTCTACAAAACATATAGGATACATGTATACATTGGTGTGTTCAAGTATTTACTGACCTCAGCTGTCCCCAGGAGGTGCCATTTGGGACGAAGGAAGAACAAGATTCCATCCACTGCTCCATCCAGCGTCAAGCCACGAATCAGGAGGGTGATCAGCACGATATACGGGAACGTTGCAGTGAAATAGACCACCTGTGTTAAACCAGGACATCATAAAATGGTTAGAGTTACAGACACAAGTACTACATTTGAGGTGAAAGATCCTAATGTTTACTGTTTGTCAAGCTTCTCTCACAGCCATCAATCCAGAAAATCATGACATGTAAGCCAGAAAACATAACACAATCTGCTACCCCAATAGCAACAAGCATTAACCTGTTGGTATGCTTTGTCTGAACAACTGACTAATGAGTGTTGAAGATGGTACATATGTCAAGGTAGAGACTCTGACTGATAGATATCCCGATCATAGTCTCTACTGGTAGAATAGATGATTCTACCAGAGTCTTCTATGTATAGTCTCCTACAACTGTTACCCTACCTTTCCTGTTGACTTGACACCTTTGAAGATACACAGGTAGACGATAATCCAGGCCAGCAGCAGTGTGAGGGACAGGTCCCACTGTGGGGCTCCAAAATCATCAATCCCACTACTGATCTCCAGCACGTTGTGGCTGCAAACATACAAGGACAGCGTGTTGGAGAACCATAATTTTTTTTCTTCATGTTTCTTTAAACCTTCTCTACAGTGTGTTTTCTGGTATAGAATATGTAACTGCCCTTCAGTATTACACACCAGCTGTTTAGACATGTTGCAGTGGTTAAGTTTTACCACACTGACCAACCTGTCAGACCATGGAGTTTCAAAGTTCTATCTCCATGGTCAGACATAAACCACTCATATCTAACTCTAACTGCCGTCATGTATATGATGACAACACTGTTCCATTTTGCTTACAGTTTGCAAACATAGCTTAAAGTTTCACAACACACAACAAGGAAAAAAGAGTACCTACTCGAAGAACTCATTGCTGGGTGAAGTGCTGTCATTATGTAGAAGTGACCGGTTCAGACCAGTTGTGCAGTTTTCAGTGTTCCAGGGGTTGTCACAACGAGCCCAGGGCAAAGGGTCCTGTGGAAATATTCAAACCATGCTTAAATTAATTCACACAAAAAAAAAACAGTTACTCATGAGTTGACAACTCTCATAGTGTCACTGACGAAAGGTACTTGATGCTACCTGAAATGTCTGACTGTTTCCAAAATCATATCCAGTTGCTTGAGTAACTGTTTTTTGGCCTCATTACCTGGATGTCTAACCTTCACAGATGCATGCTTTTGATTGACACAATTTCAATGACAATGTCAACCTAGCTATAGCTTTTGTTAATTTGCAAAATGCTTACAGAGCTAGTCACTGACTGAACAAACAAAATTTCAAATCAGACAAAATGTTAATGTGGCACCCGGCATACTTATTTGCTGGGTGTGTGAGAGACCTTGACTTAAATGATGCTTTCACATGAATGTTTTAAAACTTTTAGGTAACAAACAAACACAAAAAGGATGGCAGTTATTGCTTTTAGTTCATTTGACTGACCTGGAATGAGTTGAAGAGGTAGTACAGAGCCCAGGTGATGATGACATTGTAGTAGGTGGAGAAGATAAATGTAATCACCACTGTGGCCAATCCAGCCCCTGAAACAGGTCAAAAGTTACCAACTGTCACAGCCACAATGACTGTAATCTCCATCATGCATTGACAGATAGTGACTTTGACTTTAAGCCTGCCAGTGAGAGTAAAAACAAATTGAAATACAAGCTGGGTTTCTGAAAGAGTTAGATTAAAACTTAGGCAGTTGAAAGTAAAAGACTGATCATGCAGACTTTCTTGTCCTCTTGTTTGTTAGTCTCCTCACACTTTAACTTAAGTTTCTGAACTTGGTTGATTGCTATGCCTTCAATCAAATGACATGAATATGATATTGTTTGGCTTGGAAAAAACAGTCCTTGTATCGAGTCATTAATACTTTGAACAACTGTCAACTGTTGAAAAATAAGTAAATTCTTAAAAATATAAAATTTGGGATAAATGCTGCATGATCTATTTGAGTAATAGATGAGACAATTTACAGTATAAAAGCTCAGAAAACAAGGAAAACAAGCAGACAGCAAGTAACAAAGTTAGGGACCATCCTACTTAGTAACTGTCTAAGTGGATGGTACCCAGTGTAGCAGGCCAGAATATACCACTGGACACAATGTACATGGGTACATTCTGGCCAGGGGTATGTTCCAGTCTGCTACACCTGGAAAATTAACATATTTTAATATCTGGTTGATGACGCATCCTCATTTCGTAGTGTAGCTCTAACAGTCCACAGTCCGTAAGCTAAACTCGAAAAATACCTTTGCAGTAAAAAGTAAAAAGAAGCAAGAACGAGTGGAATGCAAGCCAGTATATAAGTTCTACCTGTTCAGAAGATTTTGACGGGATGAGTTTGAACGGGATGATATTTACCGTTTGTGTGGTACTTTAGGCAAGACCTGTGTGAAAAACTGACAGAACCAGAGGACAGATTGGGTGAGTGCAGGTCTTTGACCCTAAATTGCATATCATTAGAAAATACACCAAAGTACCTGAAAAGGAAGGATATAATTTGAATGGCAGACAGAAGTAAATTCACAACTCCACAGTAACTGTTATAATACTCTGATAAAGTGTGAGCAAACTAACTTATTTTTATGAAATGATACATGTAAGATTACATGACTGACATCACTTAGGTTATATAAAAATAATACACATCAAAATTTATCCAAGGGTTCCTCTAAACAATGTGCAGTATGCTTTGAAGAGGAAGAGAATAATTTCTGTTAAACATTAATTGGACTCCCTTACTCAATGCAATACTATGTACAAAGAAAATGAATAACAATTGTCAAACGGTGTATCAAAAGACTTATTAATAACACATTGGATACACATGCTTGAAACCACACTTCGATGCCTGGTTATAGTATGACCAAGCAAAACCTCTACATGGTTGCAATTGTCAATGGGGGTTAGGAGGGTGCTGACAATATTTACCCTTAATTCAGAAAAAACTGCCTATGAATTACACTAAATTGACCTGTTACAGAAAGAAACAGCCTTGCTCTACACAAAGTTTTGCTAGCTCACTACAAATAACATGAAATAAGAATTACAGCGCTAGCAACTTTCAATACAAACTACAATGTATGAGAAATTAGAATAGCTTGCATAATATTTAACAGGAATTTAGCTTGGGCATGTAATGCTGGATACGTGCTCACTGCGAGCATATTTATTTACACTTGTGAGTTCAGTTTGTTTGATTAGTAGCTCAGGGCATGGGAACACTGAATAGTCAAGATCAAAGTTTAGCTAATGGATAACAAATTCTGCCATCTGCTGTGTCATTGTATGCTCACACAAGTGGAAAATAAAGAAAAACATGGTTTTAAAAACTGACACTAGGCACACCTGATGAAATATAGATTGTTTTCTTTCCCCTACGCTCATAAATACGAATAAAACATACATAAATGTACAATTTAGTACTACATTGTGTATTCATGTATATAACACACAGTTACAAGACATCATAAAAATTAAAAGAAATAACTTATTCAGTGTGTCCAGACAATGGTCTTTTTACAGGTTTTTGGAAAGCAGAACACTGGAAGTTCCTGAAACTCAGGTGTCGAACAGTCAACCACCTACAGCTGAATATGTTGATTGCCAGAATGTTGTTGAATTTCAAAATTGTCACAGGATCAAGTCTACTGGAAAATCTGCCTAAAAACCTGAAAGAAAAGGAGTGAGAATGTTCCCGGTACCATACCTTTCAGAAGAGGGCAGATCTTGCCCAGTGCCCCTACTGGTCCTTGCTGTGTGTACTGTCCCACGGCCAGCTCCATGTATAGCAGGGGAATTCCACAGAGGAACAGCATGATGAAATAAGGGATGAGAAAGGCACCTAAACAACAACAACAAAGAAAGAAACAAAGTGTGATCTCATGGGATATATGAATCCAAATTGCTTCCTCAAAATCTTCCATCTGGTAAAAGGTTAAACTTTATTGTGCTTTCATTGGCATACCTAACTTTCATGTCAAATACATTTAATGAATAATTATTGTCAAATTACAGTTGCAGGAATTTCTGCAGTCCCTCTTATAAATTGTTTTGAAACCAGACACCAACCACAAATGCACCGGAAGGTGTTTCTAGTAACTAAGGACTAAGGTGTACCTTTTGACCCTGAACATTCAAGTGTACCCAAAGGGGCATTTTCAACCTTAAGGTCCACAGTAACCTTAAGAAGCCAGACATTGACAGTAAGTTTACTAACACTGTCAGACATGAACCAAGCAATGAATGTTTACTGTAACCAACCAAAGCAATGTCTGAAACATCTGAAAGCATGTCATCTTGCTTCAGAGTCTTCAGCAATAACGGATGCTTAAAATTTCCGGTAGACAAAAACACAATATGACAAAGCTAGATATACACTTTTGGTGGTGTCTCTACTTTTTATCTGACATCAAAAAGTAAAGCAATGGCTGCAACTGAACAGCCAGCAAAAATCACTGAGTCATTGAGGAAAACATAGTGGCACCTTGGTAAACAAACGCCAGTGACTTAGTACAATGTATGTGTTGATCACATTTTGATTACATGTTATGAACATATTTCATGTTGTATGATCACAAGTCAGGAAGGTAATCCTTCTTTGAAGGTACAGGTGTTGAAAAAAAAAACACATTTGTACTACTAGTATCAAGTTTATGTATAGGTAGCTCCAAGGTCCTTGGTAGCTCGTTTATCGGTGGTATTCCTTTCAGTACTAGTAAGTTGTTATGCTTCTTTCGGACCGTAGAACATAAGACGGAATATAAATCATGAGTGGACGAAATGCCCGACCAGTGGAAACTGGTCCGACGACATCTCGCCCAGTTTTGGAACCTGTCCCACAAAGTAGGCCCTGTAAACAGAACTGTTTTATAAACCTTGGGATTTATTACACAACGTGAAAACGCAAAAAAAATGACAGTAATCAAGCCAAAGCAAGCAGAAATAGAGAGTAAAGTTCGCAAATGTTTTCAAACCGTTCTGGTTTTGTTACGCCCAATGCCTTTGGAGAAACTTTGAAAGCCTGAAGGCGTAACAGTCACAAAACATTATGGATGGTCTTCCCTCCGTCTAAATGTCGTTATGGCAGCTTGTACAAAAGAACTTACCGCCGCCGCTTTTGTAACAGAGGTACGGAAACCTCCAGACGTTTCCCAGCCCGACTGCATAGCCGACCATCGCCAGCAGAAACTCGGCTTTCCGTGCCCACTGGTCCCTGGGTTCTCCCGGCTCCATGTCGTGTACTGGCCCACGGTGCTCGGGTTCGTCCTCCTCTCTGTCGAGCATCGGGTCTCTCACCCTGGTCTCACGGCCGGGCTGGGTCCACACTGAGCTGAGCATGGTGGGGCCTGTAGACCTGGTTCTTTGGCAAATATTTGTTCTACTGTTTTATGCAATTACTGAGTATTTTATAGACAGACAGCACGTACGTTCTTCGTTGGAAGACCTTTGTTCCCACACCGGAAGAGGGGACGCTGTAGTGCTTCGGACGAAACCATTTTGATTCGTAAACATCATATCCCTAAGTTTTTTTTAAAGTATAATGGTATTAAATCTCATCCTTGCTCATAGGTATACAACGAAATACATACCGTAAAGAATCAATGAAATTATATTTGAAGCTAGCAATAAAGTTGATATTTTTTCGTTCCTGACAGGAACGCAATGAGACCGTCCTGTCACCACACTGGCCACGCCCTCAAGTGTTGAACTTTTCTCCTGGCAGACGGAAAACAACAAAAGGACCCGCCCCCTGGACTAATACTTGTCATTTCATGGTCCGATTACAGTACTTACGTTATTTGATTTTGCCCCCGCCCCAGCTAAATGGGACCTAAATAACCTATTCGAATATTTATCTAAATATACAAAGGTCATAGAAGCAAGTTTTTGGTTTGAATATTGTAAAGAGATCAAGACTTAGTACAATATTCAGAATCCTTGTTTTTTTTTGCTGAGAGAAATTAGGACATCCCATGGTACCAAAACAACACTTTTGGGGGTAGTGTGCCTATTTAAAGATGGAAAAGAAACATCTTTGAAAAAACTTGATCTTTATTGGTTTCACCAATTATTAATCTACAACACTGGGGACAGTTAAAACCTGTTACATTTATACTATGAAACATTGATACAGGCAAAAATCTAACTGCAAGACTTGTTTGCAAGAAACATTCTAGGATCATGATTTTAAAAGGTATGAATATTGTAATATTCTAAATTGTGGAAAGAATAATTACATTTTTCATTGATTAAAAGAACATGACACAGACTTATAAAAATGCCAACATTACAAAGTCTATCTTTAAAAATGATCACCAAAGGACAACATGGGCCCCAGGGGGCAACGCAATATTCATCCAGTAACTAAAAAGAGTTAATAAGAATCAGAGAGAGCCCATCCCTGGACTTTGCTAGAAATCAGAGTCAGTTTATAACCAACATGACAACCTCACAAACACATCTTATAACCTACACATTTGTAAAACTAAAACTTGTATTGCAAATACTAGTATAAAAATCTAACATACACCTTAACATCTAGATCTAGGTAGCTGCAAAACCCTTTTCCGGTCCCCGAATCCTCCTGGCCAGCTGGATGTCCCTGGGCATGAGGGTGACTCTCTTGGCATGGAGAGCACAGAGGTTAGCATCCTCCAACAGACCGACCAGGAACGCTTCTGCTGCCTGCAACATAGGGAAAGATCACAAGATGACGCTTTTGATCAAGCCTGAATACTATATGCATGTGTTTGTGACATAATTATCCCAGCATTGCCAGTGAAATACATGTATACTTAAAAACTCGAGCAAGATGTCCTTAAGCTAGCTATTAAAGGTAGGAGGAGTTAGACTAGTGAAATATGATCAAGGTAAACTTCGCTATAAGGTTGTGTCATTCTTCATTCCCCATGCTCAATGCTTGTAGTACCAAGGACATTATACACAGTGATATAATGTCCTTGCTAGTACATGTACTAGTATTTTCTAAGGCTATGTTTGAAAACTCACCTCTTGTAGAGCCATGATGGCGTAGGCCTGCCACCTGAGGTCCAGTCCTCCAACATCCTGACAGACTTCTCGCACCTGAACAAGACATACAAGAGAGGAGATGGGTTTTCTTGTAGTAGTGACAGTCAGGCAAGACGTTATACTGTTAAAGCATTTATTGCAAATTATAGCAACAGCAATACCATACAATGGTCATGAAGACTGAATGGAGATTTCTGATTCAAAGATGGTATTTCAAGTCTGGCGTCCTTGACAGAAAAGTGTGGTTGTATTTGTAACATAAAATCTCTTTGAGCCTAGGTTTTGTGATGTAAACATAAGTACAGTGTGCGTACAAGTAGCTACTTTGGAACTTGTGTGGAAGTCAGATGGATCAGAAAGACACTTAAGGTGACATAGATTTCAAGCTGTGTCAATAACAACACTTCACTCCCTCTAGTCTGGATCATAGTGGATGAGGTGATATAATAAAAGAAATGATTTCTGCTTACCAATCTTGAAAAAGGTAACTTTCTGATCAGAAGTGATGTTGACTTCTGGTATTTCCTGATTTCCATCAGTGCTCGGGTCCCAGGCCGGAATTTTTTCCTCCTCTCTGTAAATGTGCAACGTTAATAGTGTATAATTGAGAAAGATTAAGTCATGCATGCTTCGCCTGCATAGTTACTTTTTCACTGAACTTATGTAAACTTTTGTATTTATTCCATTTGTGAAATTTCTTTGGGTTTGGCACCTTGATGACTAGCCGTGGCGACTCTTGATTCGGGCTTACATTGCATTACCCTCAGCAATAGTCGTGGAAAGATCCATTGGCAGAACTGCACATTTCCCGTTGGCTGCACGATGCTCCGTTTTTGACCCGGTTTTTTGCTGTCCCGAGCTTCCCTACAATATAACTCCACAATTGGCTGGGTTGCCGATGTTTAGATCAGCCTAAATATTCCACAGTGCGACAGAAAAGTAGTAAAATAGCTAGTCGGCACAAGCTGGCGGCCATCTTGGATATGGTCGGGAATGTCCGCTACCGCCGTCGGGAACGCTCGGTAGCCTTTCCGGTTATAATCGGAGAGCTTTCGGTCACGCTTCGGTAATCGTGACGCTACCGAGCGTTCCCGACGGCGGTAGCGGACATTCCCGACTATATCCAAGATGGCCGCCAGCTTGTGCCGACTAGCTATTTTACTACTTTTCTGTCGTGCTGTGGAATATTTAGGCTGATCTAAACATCGGCAACCCGGCCAATTGTGGAGTTATATTGTAGGGAAGCTCGGGACAGCAAAAAACCGGGTCAAAAACGGACCATCGTGCAGCCAACGGAAAATGTGCAGTTCTGCCAATGGATCTTTCCACGACTCTTGCTGAGGGTAATGCAAAATTATGTAAGCCCGAATCAAGAGTCGCCACGGCTACTTCATGACATACTTTGTACTACGGGTGAAACCAGGGGTGAAACTACATTATGACCATATGAAAAAATCTATAAAATATACTATAGAACTTCATACCAATCATCTCTATACATTTAGTTTATTATGAAACGTTTCACATGTACAGGCAGTGATGTATACGTTTACACTGGTTGGGGAGGGGGGCACAAATCTTTTTTGCAGTGTCGCCCCCCTCCCCCATAAATGGGGGTAGAAACTCAGCCATTCCGGATAATTGAACTGTAACACGGCATGGAACATGGCAAAAACTAAAGCTGAATTTCATGGCCTTCTTATGAAACAGAAAGGCACTCGAAAATTGTACTTACTCCCCTGTCCGTCGCCTGACCGGCCCGGCGTCGGCCCGCCAGCGGCGGGACCTTGCCTCCTGCCCGGCGCACCGGCTCGCCCAGGTCCCCGCGCCGGAGTTCCCCTCCGTCCTGACGGGCTAGCCGATGGCCGAACCATGCCTCTTACTCTCCTTTCTCTTCTCCTTCTGATATATTCCTCTCTGGCAACGTTAGTTTCGACAAGAAAGGCTTGGCGTGCAGGGATTTAAAAATGGCTGTTGTTTGTGGTAACGGTCAAAATTTGAAAATTGCGGGGCAAGGCCCCATATGCCTGATATATTTAACCCACACACTCACTCACGATAGTAATTCACGATAGCTGTTATTAAAAACAAAATGATTTTCTCGGTTTGTTCCAGTTTATCAAAGATTCTCTCAAAAACAAATCACTATAGCGTTATCGTATTGTACACATGCATGATATATCACTCGATCAAAAAGGAACCCCTAAGGGGTCTTGCAAACCCGATACTAGCACTAGCGGCCTTACACTGAACTGCAGTTTTAGCACGGCACAATCGAGTGCAAAATGCGTAATGTTTACTTTGCAAATGTTCTTTGAAATAGCCTAGCTGGATGTCAGATCAAGAAGAATCCTTCCCTTTGAAAGAAATGACACAGACAACTCACCAGGTTATAAACTGTTATATTCTAATGATTATATAAAAGCACTACTAGGTTATTGTGTTCTGTATACGCATATAATATTTCAAAGATTTTGCTTAAAAGTCACAAAATAGTCGGAAAGTCACATGGATTCTGTTGCGCGATTTGGCCATATTTCTTGCAATTTTTTTCCAAAAAAATGAAGGTTTAGATATTGTGTTGGAATCGTTTCAGATACTGGTAAGTGGTTGTAGGTAAGTGGGCAACGACCTAACAGATCATATTTCAAAACTAACATCAGACCGAAAACTCGCATTCGATATCAGGTTTAGTATGAATGAATCACAAAGTAGGAATATATATTTACTTAAACCTTACCCTCAACAATCCAGTTAATGTAAAGTTAACAGTTACTTTTTATTTTAAACTTTGTCCACAAGAATTAACAAATTAAAGCTGAATTTACAACTCAATTAAAGACTAAAAGCAGACAAGGTAAGTACACGTACAAATGTACGTGGGCCGCGCAACATAACAGGTTGATTTTCCTGTATGTGCCAAAGCTTAGACTGTACTCAAGACTAAGCTCAGCCTTTCTTCTGATTACGGTACAGCTTTACTTCAGCTTGTACCATCCTATTGCCATCATCGCCAAGTTGTCAAGCAGGCCGTCGATCCTGCCGATGACGTATTTCTCCACCGCCCCCTTCACCCAGCTCCAAATGTCGCTGGCCTGCTCGTGAAGGAACATCTTCCATCCCTGGCTCTGCCATTTGCTGGACTGGTTGTCGCCCCCGTCATGGTACACCACGAACCGATTGCTGGGGCTGCCGCAGTAGAAGACCCACTCCTTCCCGCCGTCTCCGATGACTGTGAGCTCGCAGTCGTTCCAGACCCAAGAGGCGTGGTTCAGTAGCTTGTCGATGGCGTACTGCAGAAGCAGCCGGTCTCGATCAGACACTCCCTTGCTGATTGCAGCGGCGATGTCGGAGGGACCTACCCCCGATGGACAATTGATGCGTTCCTGAATTGGAACAGGAATAGGAGTCAGGCTGAGCCATCCATGCTAGGCGTGTGTGTACACGCGCGAGCATGCACTGAGTGCGTGCGTGCCACAGTGCGTGAATACGTGCGCGCGTGTGTGTGCGTGAAAGTGCAGCTTTGCCAATTGCCATCGAGTCAGTGTCACTACCATTCCGCTGCAATTTTTCTATTGCGCAAATATCAAGAACCAACTAACCTTGGTCATGATTCTCACAAATCCAGACAGAGCTGAGTGTTTGCAAAATACCGCCGGCGCGTTGCGTTGGTACGTCTTACGTTGACGTTGTGGCCTGCGTAGGTATGAAGAAACAGAAGAATATGGGTTAACATGTCAAATAATTAAAACTACATACGTACAGCCACTGTAGGAATGGTAGGAAGAAAATTAAGGCAATGACAGCCTTTCATCAATGGCAACCAAGGGAAAAAACATGTTGTCAAAGTATAATTTCCACTAGTACTGTGCAAACTAGTTTATTGTTACATGTTCCCCTTTCACTTTCACAGTTTCGGTAGGTCTGGAGCAAGAAAAGGTTTCATTTTTACTTCTGAGTTTCGCATGTACTAGTATTGTTCCCCAGTACTAGCAGTAGCGCAATGACCAAATTCGTCTAAATGGCACAATTTGGAAGGATGCCAGATTATTGCTAAAGCTATTCTGTCGTTTTCTAACCACATTCGGAAGACATCTGGGCCAAAGTACAAAAAAACATGTACGGCGGGAGAGACGTTGTTCCCATCGTACCCGAGCTCAGTTTTTTTTTGCTGTCCATACCAATCCTTTTGAGAAAAATCTGAATATATTCTACATATGTCTTCATTAAACCACTTCGGACACAGAATTAGGATGAAATTTTGATACATCTAAACCGACTTCAAACTCACCTGAGTCCGTGCTTGTGTCACTGCTGACAAGTGCACTAAGTCTGCACAACGGTTCGGTGTCTAGAAATGCTTTCTGCCCACGTATTCTCCTCCACCATTGGTTACAACAGAACACATGACAGAAAAACCCCGTGAGTCAGACATATGACCTCACCTTGTTTCACTTTCGGCCGTCTTATGTTTATCGTACCAGGCAGGCGGTCAACACTCACACGCACAGGCAGTACTAGTGTGATAAGCCACGCACGTCTGCTGTGTTGTTTCAGTGCACGTACAAGATGGGCAACCTCCTAATACCGCCGAACAAAGAAGACACCGTGACGGCAAAACAGGTACTCAGTCTCCTTTTGTTCGTTTTTTTTACAGGAACTGTGCTTCTTCCTGTGATCGGAGCTGCGTATCCGCTAGCTATTTAGGGGGAGGGGGGTTGGGTCGAGGAGTATTGAAAACGACAGCTCTGAAGCATTCGGCATAGAAAGTGAGCTACTATTCAACTTTTACATGTATGAAACACTTTCCTTGACCACCCCCTTCACAATCACAATCTGGATGGCTGTTGGTGTGAGTAATAATGTTCAATACTGGAGGAAAGCTAATGTTTCTGCAATGCAAGTCATAACCGGTGAGCGGCGCTTTACGTTTATCCTTCCGCGTTGAGCAGTTGCAGGTTGCAGATGATTTATTTGAGGCAGGTATCTTAAGCTTTGATACGATGCACTTGTGCCGAAGAAGATCTAGAATTCGAAGAAAAAAAGCACGACTATAAATTTAAAGTAAAGAATCATTTCAAAATGTAGGAAATTACATAATTTATCCTGCCATCAATGTCACTGAAAATTTTTGTTGGTCTGAAATTCAGCACTAAGGACAGGGACACCAATTAGATAATATAGACAGGACTCTTAATGTTGTTGCTGTGAAATTCAGCACCAAGGCCAGGGACACCAGTTTAATATTACATGAGGTTTTGATAATTCAACTGTTCAAAATTACAATTTTCAGACAAAAGTTGCGGACGAATTGCCTTCTGCTTCAACAAGCACGACTATCCCAGACAGTCCAGACGACAAAACAACAGATTCTACAGCGGCGGGTCGGGACACAAGTGACCTTCAGGAAGAAGTAAGCAATTTTTGTCTCTCATTTCTTGCTAACTACTCACAGATCAGCACACAGTGAGTGTAGATTTATTGAGTAAATGATGGCGTTAGCACGTCAACTCTTGTTCCCGACGATCTTTCGCACCCTCTCTCTAAGTCCATTTTATTACGTCTCACGAAGCGGAATGATATTCAAATCCCGAGGTGGCGCGGCGCAGTGACATGATACATGGCGCCATGCACTGCAGCCAAAAATGAAACATGGTGCGATGTACATGTGCGACCTTCCCCGCCCCGAATCGCCCAGGATTTGTACCTGACTTTGCACCAAAGCTTCTCCTAATTGCGTGACGTAAAAAAGGGCACGACTTCTCTCTCTTTTGGTATGGCAACGCACGTGTCGTTGGGAACTCAAGCACCGTTCGGCATAAGTAACCATTTTAACGTCTGGCCGTGTAAGTAATCCCCCGACCCTATCTCTCCAACTAAACCAACTGGAACTTGCTGTAGACGGTTGAGGAGTTGTGCAAAGCCAGCGGATTTTTTTCTTCAAACAAAAAAAGAGACCCCCAGAGAAAAAGGCATCAGGAAAGTCAGCTAATTGTAGCATCACCTTCACGCCTTCGTGGCACTACGAAATGGAACTTAAGAGGGTTCTTAATGCATGGAAGCCATCGTAATCTTGTCTTAGTGGTTTTAATGGCCCGCAAATGATCGCAAAGCAACTCCTCTTCATCGCCCCAATTAACGGTTCTCGCTAGCTGAGGATTTGAGTGGTAAGCACTCGTCTTGTGGGGGTTATGTTGGCATTTAAGCTTGAACTCTCTTGAGGCGTGGCTACGTGTACAACTGGTGTTCTTTTTTAACGTTCATTTGCTTATTGTGTATTCTGTGCTTGACTCCCATAGTAACTGAAATATAACTGCAAAATGGTACCCACGACTCTAGACCTGTGTCAATGGTAACGAAAGCTATAGAATTGGCAGAATTGCGCCACAAGGGAGTTCAAACACTTGTACAGAAAAAAATAGAATAACAAAACAGACGAGTATATGTTAATAAGAAGGATCTAAAAGCCAGATTTATTGGCATAATTCTTTTGTATTCCTGACTTTTCCTGAGCTTTGTTGATTTTTTTGTTGATTTGACTTTCTGCTGTACTACGTTTTCATTCGCTTCGAGGCATCAACGTCTGTGCTTACAGATTTATTAACATTTGTACAGAAAAATAGAATGAAGAAACGTATTGAGCTGACAATTATATATCAGTGGTGGAATTAAGAAGCCATCTTTTGGGGCATAATTCGTTTTCATGAGTTTTCAAAGGACACTGCTTTGTTCAATTTTTGTTGGTTATTTGACTTTAAACTGTACACTACTCTCACGTGAGTTAAAGCCATGCCCATGTCCTCTGTGTCTATTAATGTACCATTTCATAAGGTCAGTGATGTCATTGTAATACCTTTCAGGGTGTGACTGTGAACGAGATCAACAAAAGAGTATTGGGGAAGCTGATAGTGGAGAAAGTTGGGAACGAGGGTGCTGACGTCACGGCACGGGCGGCAGTACTGAGGACCGCCCTTCAGCGGGCCATCACACATCTGGAGAGTCAACCCGCCGAGGTCAGCAAATATTTCTCTGAACTAGAAAAGTAACATTTGCAAAGCAAATGCATAATGTTTACTTTTGCATATAATCTGCTCTGTTAATTCTTACTCAAACACATTTACATATATGGTGACAGGAGTCTAAATCCCTCCTACTATAAAATTGCAACATTATGTAACCCAACACCAGTTACGATGGTGAGAGACGACAGTCTGGTTCAGTCAGGTAAGAGGTCACTGTTTGGAGAGGAAGAAGAGGAAACGTAGCTTATGTTTTCCTTCGGTAAGCATAATTAATGTGATAGGCTAGGGTCTCTGATACTGCACATCTAAAATTGCATATGCACCTGCTGCCTAAAATTGAAATTAATCAAATATTAGATATAATTTCTTACCAATCTTGAGCAATAGAATCATATCATATCATGATAGGATCTATCAAATGATACAGTAATTTCAGTTCATCACATATTTTCCATGATGAGTGCATCATTCTCTAATGGGATAATTACATTTTAGTGCAGCAGATATAAGAGTTACAAGGCTAGGAGTTAAATTGCATTTGTTTCTTCTTCTAGGTTTGGCAGAATGCTGAATTAGAAATTATTGACAAGTATGGGCAGGTGTATCACATCCGTGCGGGACAGGCCGAGAACAAGTTTGTCCTGTACCACGACGGGACGGACAACATCAAGTTCACCTGCAGGGAGAAGGCAACGTGGAAGTGGCCATGGCAGTGGGGGAGTTTTCAAGAAAAACCCAAGGCATTGGAGGACAAGTCTTCCCTGTAGCTCGTTTCGTGATCACAAAAGAGACTAGAAAAGTAACATTTGCAAAGCAAATGCATAATGTTTACCTTCGCTGCGCATATGGTCTGCTCTGCTAATTCTTACTCAAGCTCATTCACATATATGGTGACTGGAGTATAAATCCCTCCTACTATTAAATTGCAACATAATGACACCCAACACCAGTTACCATGGTAACAGACGTCAACAAATCAGGTCATTGGCCAGGTCAGAGGTCAGTGTTTGGAGAAGAAGAGGAAGAAACTGAGCAAAAACAATATGTTTTCCTTCGGTTAACATAAAAATTAGAAAGTGTATAACCCAATATATAACTCATACAAATAATCTGCAATGAGAAACATGTATAATTCTTCAGTCGTAAAGGTTTACATCATTTGGCGAAGGTATGAGGTCTCAGAACTTCAGTTACTACATGCAGAAATATATTTACACCTAACGGACATTTTTCTTCACAAGAAACGATATGCTTGAGTACAGAAAGATAAACATATTGAAGTATTTCTTCAAAGGAAAATCAATGCCACAATGTACAGGACGTTTATCAAAGTTGTGCCTCGAGCAAAAGATAGCACACTGTTTCTAATCTCTTCCTCGCACAGAGGGCTTAGAGCGTATCTACAAAACATAAAACATTACAGTTAAGCTATCACTGACAGACTATTATCAGTCTCTGTTTAATTTAACATCGACCGTACTGGTACTTATGTACTACAAACAGAACCTCACGGATATTAACGCAAATATTCCCATTCAAACTAATTTCATACACAATCTGTACAAGCAAAATTGAAATTGAAACGATCAGTTAGGTTGAGGACTGATGCGTTTTACTGAAATTCCAGCATCAACTGACGTAGATACGACTGTACTGATATTATACATGGGTACCCGTCCTTGAAATATTTGATTTTACGCTACAAAAGCAGCGATATTACATTATCCGCAAGATCTAGCTTCCTTGTTTAGAGTGAGATGAGAAAGTAAGCAAGGAGGAATATTTATTGTTAGGGTGTGTCTTTTTGTAGCTTGAAGCTGTTTGGTGATGGAATATAGTAATTGCGTTTAGGGGGTACAAATGGAAATGTAAATGCTATGTAATTTGCTCCTCGCCATCCATAGACAAATACATGTACCATTAGACACATAACATTACACGTGTCCTCAATTTTGGTAAGGGTATAATTTGGTCGAACTTTGTAGGCACTAGTACTGGGTACGATTTTACATCTCTACCACAGATAAAACCATCTTAGCAAAGAGTCAGCGACGGAGGCATTGATATCAATGTTACATGTTTGTTCCTGATGTTCTTTCATATGTCTTACAGTAATGTCCTACTCTCTTTGATTAAGTTTTGGTATCAATTTTGTTTTTGTTTCTGTTGGTTGTATCCTATCATCTATTGGAAACAAAACAATGCCTACTGTGACACAAGAGTGATATGATTAGCATGGTCGCATATGGCGGCGCCCATCTCCGTTTCGTAGCCCATGGGCCACACAGTTGTGCAATCAGTAAAGCAAGGGCTAGTCCACTGGTAGTGGTGTGTGTGTAACTCTCATACTCTTTCTCAAATGCCGAGTGCTTGGCAGAGAAATCTAAAGCAGTATGTATTTTTTAAGTCTTTTGCGGTATGACTTGGCCGGGGATCAAACTCACGACCTACCGAATGCAAGACGAACACTCTACCAGCTTGGCCATTAGCCAGAGTGTCAGATAGAGCGGACGAAAGTTAAAAAGGCTGACACTCAGGCTACTTTGCCATTGCACCGGTGGGTAGAGTGATCTATGATGTGCGTCATGCTAATATAGACAGATAGTTTGATCTTCGTTGGACCACTATATACATCATCTGTGAATAGCTTCATCAGGTTGGTAAGTCACAGAGTAAGGGGACTCTTTCTACACAACCAAGTCTTTTATTCAGCCGACGTTTCGATGACCGTCTG